GAACGTACGCACGCATGCACGCACGCACGCACGCACGCCCCCCCCCACCCACTCACACACACAAACACACACACACACACACACACAACACGCACAACACACAACCAACACACAACACACCGACACAAACGCTAATATATACACAACACACAACACACATACACACTTTTGTTGGGGCGTCGCGGCCCTGCGCGCAGCGACAGGGCGGAGAAAGTCTGGACCAGCGACCGCGCGCGCAGCAAGAAGTGTCCGAGCCCTCAGAGAACGTCGAAGGTCTCGCAGCAGCCGCCGCCATACGTCACCCGGGCATGGATGACGTGGGGGTCAGCGGTGGGCGGACCAGTACAAGGGGGGTGGGTGCCGACAGCCACCGAGGACTGGAAGGTGGGTGGGCGGGGGGGGGATGGCGGCGGGCGAGGACGAGGACGAGGACCGACCCAGCGACCGGGGAAGGCAAGAGGACGGAGGGGACGGGAAAGCGCCAGAGCCGACGGGAGTCGGCAGAAGGGCACATGGGGACCCAGACCCCAGACCCTCGACGTCGTGTTTTGTTCACAACGCCCACCCCCAGAGGTATGGACCCCTTCCCCGGGACCGGCTCTTCATCCCGAGCCGTCTGCTGCCGATCCCGAGACCCGGCGAGTGCCCCTCGAGGCCGAACACGGCCCAAACCCCCCGGCCCTCATTCCTGTACGACGCGATCATGTCTGGAGAGGAGCAACGGCCAGAGGCCACACAGTGGTGGCGCACGGACCGCAGAGCTCGCAGGCGACGGGGCCGCGACGCCGGCAGGCCGAGAGGCACGCCACGCCGGCAGCGGCGGCGGCCGCCCACGGGCAAGCCAGGGAGGCCCGCCGGGCGCCCTCCGCGAGAAGGGGCCGGCGGCACAGGGGGGCTCTTCCTCGGCCTCCTTTTGACTTGCTGGCCTGCACTAGAAGGCGGGCCCCTGCACTCCAGGGGCCTTCTAGGAGCCTCACGGGATGATCCTCTTTCGTGAGGGGCCAGAGCGGGTAGCAACCTTCTCTCTCAGATGGGCAGGCTTTCCCAAGGGCCAAACCAGCAAGCCCTTCGGCTTCATTCCCTGCAGCAATCGGCGAGACGCTTTCATCCCTGTGCTCGTGGGCTGGCCGCAGGGGGCAGAAAATGTTGTCGCTTTGGACGCCGCCCACCCTCCGCACCTGGAGCAAAAAAACACCCCCTTGGTAATACAAATGTTGGGGTGGTGGGTGGGGTGGGCATCAAACATATATTCAAATATTTCTTGGGGAGGCACCTTTGTGTCACCCACCCTGGAGACGGCTTGTCAGAGAAGGCCGCACATCTTGTGCAACTCGTGCATTCTGGATCCCCAAGAACGGTGCGCGGGCTCATCTCACTCTCACGGAGCCAGCGGACCTTGGCACTCTTGGGGGCCTTTTGAACCTTCAAGCTGGGGCCGAACTTCCACGAAGGATCCTGGATACACGCAGGCTTAGCTCTGACCAGCTTCATCTCCTGGTCCCTGGACAGAACAACCTGAACTTCCTCCTCCTCCTCCTCATATCCAAAGAAATCGGCTGCTCTGCGCGCAACGGCGTCGGCGGCCTGGTTGGCTACGCGGAAGTCGGGCCGCACCGTGGCGGACCTGATATCCGAACGAGTCGCATGCGCCTGCGTCTTCCTGACGGTGACGTGGGATGTCCTGCCCTCATGAGACCGCCCAACAAGGGACCAACAATCAGTGTTGTATGTATGCTTCCTCTGCTCCCCCCTCCCGATGCCTTTCATGACGTAGTCACTGTCCGTAACGACGACGATGGGCCCTCCAAGGGCCAGGGCACATATGGCGGCAGTAAGGTCACCACGGTTGATCGTCTGGGTCCCAGGGGCAGGGCCGTAGAGGGTCCCCAGGGGCCAGTTGTGCCTCCCCAACAAGACGAGTCCCCATCCGACACGACGAAGGCGAGGCTTCGCTGAGAATCTTCGTCCAGAAGCGTCGATACCCACGATCCTGGTCTCGTAGAACACGTGCTGCCCTGTCTGCAGGCAGCCTTTACCGTAGACCTGCTGCCTCCTCCTCATCCTCCCCCTCTTCCGCCTCCTCCGCCTCCTCCTCCTCTGCCTCCTCCGCCTCCTCCGCCTCCTCCTCCTCCTCCGCCTCCTCCGCTTCCGCCTCCTCCTCCTCCGCCTCCTCCGCTTCCGCCTCCTCCGCCTCCTCCTTCCCTCCTCCTTCTCCTCCTCCGCCACCTCCTCCTTCTCCTCCTCCTGCGGCGACCAGCCGAAACGGGGAGCTGGACGCGGGCCTCCAGGACGAGGCAGGAGGCCAGGGGGAGGGGGTGCCAGATGCGGCACAGTCCGAACGGGGACTGGCGGTAGAAGCGCGAGCGCGCACGGGTGCCTTCCAGTTGCAGAGTGGCCGTCGCGAGAGGAGCCGGCCCAGAGCACAGGCAAGTGAAGCGAGGCGCAACGCACAGCGACGTGTTGCCGAGCCCGTTCACCGATTCCTTGACGCCCGCGCACCTCCTGCCGGGGGATCGGCCGTTCTGCCCCACAGAAAAGGGGGGGGGTCGCAGGATGCTTCCAGTGACAGCCGCCAGGACCACCAGAGGCAAGGAAGGAGGGCCACGAAGAAGCTACCCGAAGGATATCCGAACAAGCAAGCCAGGGAGCCCTGGCGAGGGGTGTGCGGATGAGACGAGGATACGGAGCGACGCAGCGGCCCAAGAGGCTGCGACAGGAGAGGGGCGCGGGAAAGCGGAGCAAGAGCACGTGGCGAGACCGATGAGGCCTGCACGGGCGGGAGAGCGCCTGCAGCAAGCGCCAGGGCCAGCAGGAGCTGGTAGAAGGGCTGCGACACAAGGACAGGGAGGCCCAAGGCCCACAGTGACGGCGGGGACCCCGCAGAGGTTGCAGCTGAAGGGCTGGAATTCAGGCATGTCCGCGGCGACGCTAGCGGCGAAGGCGAACCAGGGGCCAGGGGGGCGGCGCGGCGCGGGCGGGCCCCGGTGCCTGCCACGGGCAGCCTGGCCAAGGTGCGAGGACGCAGCACGGAGCTGAGGCACGCGAGGCGCGCGACGCAACCGGGAGGTGTGGCCCAGCCCCCGGCAGGTTGGGGCCGCAGGAGCCCTCCAGCCCCTGCCTTACTCACGCACACACACACACACGCACGCACACGCACACGCACACGCACACACGCACACACGCACACACGCACGCACGCACGCACGCACGCACACAACACAACACAACACAACACAACACAACACAACGCAACGCAACGCAACACAACACAACGCAACACAACGCAACGCAACGCAACGCAACGCAACGCAACACAACACAACACAACACAGCACACCACACCACACCACACCACACCACACGTTTCGGCGGTCGCGGCCTCGCGCGCAGTGTCGAGGCGGATCAAGTCAAGTAAGGCAGAAGGAATGCTCCCTCGTGGCGAGCGCCCGGAGCTCAGAGAGCAGCTGCTCGGGGCTCCGCTCCGCGGCCGGGGCCGAGGCGCCCGCCCAGAACTTGGCCCCGGCGGGCAGGAGCCCGAGCGAGGCGCTGCCAGCAGAAGTCGGCCGAGCACGGCTAGACGAGCGAGCTCCGCGCTGGCGATCACGTGGATGCCCCCCCCGCCCCCCGCCTGCCGATGGGACCACTTCCCCCGCGAGGCGTTCCGGAGCGCTCTCAGAGCGTTCCGGAACGCCCTGAGAAGGCCGCGGCGCCCGAGACACCCTCCAGATCCGCCAGATCTCAGAGGTTTCCGATTGATGTGTTATCCTCGTCCTAGCTTCGTCTGATCCCCAAGAGGCTCTCGAAACGCAGGAAGATATTGATCTCCCCATGGGTTATGGGTTTTTGCATGATTTTGGGACTGCGCTGTTCTTCAGTCTTCCAGGCGTCCGACCGCCCAGGAGGCTCAAACATCGCCCCCAAACTACCCGAAATGGCTTCCAGGCGGTGCAAGATAGCCCCAAGATGGCCCAACAAAGCCCCAAGGATGGCCCGAAGAGAGGCCCATGACGGCCCAAGATGGCCCCTAGACGCCTCCCGAAGCATTCCAAATCGTGACCCGCTCGTTCAGGGAGACCGCGGTTGGAAGCAGGGTGGCCCAAGGAAGCCCCCCAGAGGCACGCAGAGGGCGCCCAGGAGGCTTCCAGAAGGCCCCAGGAAGCCCTTCTCGCGAGGCCCCCAAGAGGCCCTTCAAGGAGGAGCATCCGCAATCGCTCCTGGCACGGCCATGCGCATACTGGATAGATCCTCAGCCCTGCATGCGCTTGGTCAGTAGCACTGTCGGTGCAGAGTTGGCCGCGCCCTATACTTCATCGCGCGAGAGAGCACACCCAGCAGTGCCAGGGACCCGTTGACGCGCTGGCTGCCAGAGTGGCCCACGGCGGCAAGGGAGCACAGATCGCCAAACGCGCTGAGTTTGCGCGGCTGGCTTTCCAACATTGCTGTGCGCTGCAGCTAGCACCGGCTCCGACGCCCGTGCCCCTCCCTCGGTAATCACGCCCCTATGGCCCATAATATCCGATGGTCGCATCCCTAACTTGCAGCCCTCTTCCCTCCTCCTCTTCCTCCTCCTCCTCCTCCTCCTCCTCCTCCTCCTCCTCCTCCTCCTCCTCCTCCCCCTGGGACCTGGAACCTGGAACCTGGTGGCGTGAGAAATCGTCGACTGCCGCGCCCCCCATGCCCCCCTTCTTCTCCTCCTCCTCCTCCTCCTCCTCCTCCTCCTCCTCCTCCTCCTCCTCCTCCTCCTCCCCTCCTCCTCCTCCTCCTCCCTCCTCCTCCTCCTCCTTCTCTTCTCCTCCTCCTCCTCCTCCTCCTCCCCCTCCTCCTCCTTCTCCTCCTCTTCCTCCTCCTCCTCCTCCTCCTCCTCCTCCTCCTCTTCCCTCCTCCTCCTCCTCCTCCTCCTCGTCCTCCTCCTCCTCCTCCCCCTCTTCCCCCTCGTCGCATTATTCTCCCTATTCAAAGTAGTACCGCGCGCCCACGCGCGGAGCGCGGAGCTCCGCGAGGTACAGCGACAATCTGGCGGCGGGCATGGTGGCCCCAGACGACCCGCTGGACCTCGAGCGCCGGGTGCTGGTCATCGAGGGAGCACCAGAAAGCCGAGGCGTACTCTCGGAGCTCCGCGCGGATGTCTCGGATCGGCGCTGGAGCCTTCCTGGCGGCGCCGCCCTGGCGCGCTCCGCGCGCCAGGGAGGGGGGACTCCGCACGGAAATCCGCAGAGACCTCCGCGCCGATCCAAGAAGTTCGCACGGACTTCCGAGCCTTTGTTCCCCACATGTGTGGTAGGGTTGTGGTTTTCTTCCCTCCCGCGTACCACCGGCGTCTCCCTCACACCTCCCTCCCTCATCCCTCCTCACCTATTCTTCCTCTCTCGCCTCACCCACGCGCAACACATGCACGGCACGTACATGAGACGCACGTCCACATGCAGCCGCACGCATGCACACATTCGCGCACACGCACACACACACACACCATGCAACGCCAGTGCACACATGCACGGCACGCGCATGAGACACGCATCTGCATACAGCCGCACGCATGCAGCATGCACACATCCGCACACACAGACACACGCACACTAACAACGCCAGTGCACGCCTGGCTTGTTCACTGCACATGAGGCATCCGTCCAGATACATCCGCACGCGCGTGATACACATACGCATGACACGCCATTTACAAGACATACGTGTAGGATTCGCAGTGAACAGCAGGCGTGGCATATGTTCGACACCATAGGGGTTGAGCGGGGGGTGGTCTCTGAGCGCGGCCGCTGTCCGTCACGGTCGTCCAGGGGATAGCTGGCGTGGCATATGTTCGACACCATAGGGGGTGCGCAGAGGGTGGTCTCTGAGCGCGGTCGCTGTCCGTGACGGTCGTCCAGGGCATAGCAGGCGTGGCATATGTTCGACACCATAGGGGGTGCGCAGGGGGTGGTCTCTGAGCGCGGCCGCTATCCGTCACGGTCGTTCGGGACATAGCAGGCGTGGCATATGTTCGACTCCATAGTGGGGGTGCGCAGGGGGTGGTCTTTGAGCGCGGCCGCTACCCGCGACGGTCGTCCAGGGCATAGCAAGCGTGGCATATTTTCGGCAGCGTATGGGGTGCGCAGGGGGTGGTCTCTGAGCGCGGCCGCTATCCGTCACCAGGGCATAGCAGGCGTGGCATATGTTCGACCCCGTAGGGGGTGCGCAGGGGGTGGTCTCTGAGCGCGGCCGCTATCCGTCACGGTCGTCCAGGGCATAGCAGGCGTGGCATATTCTCGACATCATAAAGGGGTGCGCAGGGGGTGGTCTTTGAGCGCGGCCGCTATCCACCACGGTCGTCCAGGGCATAGCAGGCGTGGCATATGTTCGACACCATAGTGGGTGCACAGAGGGGGGTCGCTGAGCGCGGCCGCGATCTGTCACGGCCACGTCCAGGGCATAGCAGGCGTGGCAGATGTTCGACATCATAAAAAAGGGGGTTCGCAGTGGGCGGTCTTTGAGCGCGGCCGCTATCCATCTCGGTCGTCCAGGGGATAGCAGGCGTGGCATATGTTCGACACCATAAAAGGGGGTGCGGAGGGGGTGGTCTCTGAGCGCGGCCGCTATCCGTCACGGTTGTCCAGGGCATATCAGGCGTGGCACATGTTCGACACCATAGAGGGGGTGCGCAGGGGGGGGTCTCTGAGCGCGGCCGCTATCCGTCACGGTCGTCCAGGGCATAGCAGGCGCTGCACAGATTCGGCACCGTAGTGGGTGCGCACGGGGTGGTCTCTGAGCGCGGCCGCTATCAGTCACGGTCGTTCAGGGCATAGCAGGCGTGGCATATGTTCGACTCCATAATGGGGGTGCGCAGGGGGTGGTCTCTGAGCGCGGCCGCTATCCGTGACGGTCGTCCAGGGCATAGCAGGGACGGCATCTATTCGACACCGTGGGGGGTGCACAGGGGGTGGTCTTTGAGCGCGGCCGCTATCCGTCAGTGTCGTCCAGGGCATAGCAGGCGTGGCATATTCTCGACACCATAAAAGGGGGTGCGCAGGGGGTGGTCCCTCAGCGCGGCCGCTATCCGTCACGGCCGCCCAGGGCATAGCACGCGTAGCATGTTCTCGACACCGTAGGGGTTGCGCAAGGGGTGGTCTCTGAGCGCGTCCGCATGTGCCCCGGTCGTCCAGGGCACAGCAGGCGTGGCATCATCATCGTCACCATCATCGTCGTCATCATCATCATCATCAACATCATCATCATCATCATCATCATCATCATCATCATAATCATCACCGAGCACTGTAGCCACCCTGACTCATGCCAACTCAGACCGCTGGATATGTGAACGCGGGCGGCCGCCGGTGACTCTCCGTCAAAGGTACGGTCCCCGCCATGGCGCCCAAATGCGCCATGTCCGCGCTGCCACCGCCGCGCGAGCAGCTCGAGAAATCAATGCTAGAGGTGGGCGCCCAGGTGAACTTGGAGGGTTTGCGCGGATATGTCGCCAGGCATGGGAACGTCTTGGTACAATACGCAATTCATGCTGACCACCGACAACTGATGAGCTGGTGGCCTGAGGCGCTATTCGCCAAGTACGAAGAGTTGCCACGTACACGAGGCGCTGACGATGCATGGTGACAGTGCTTGGTGAGGTACTTAGTGAACCCTTCTTTGACATCGGCGTTGCCAGTGGTATCGGCGCGGCAACGTCCACCAGCATCATTCTCGCATGTTTCAGTTCAGCTATCATCATTCCAGACATATTATAAGTATGTGGGGTTCCTCGGTCGCGAAAAGCTTCACTGCGCAGTTTTTGTCCCTCCAGGTCAAGATCCCGTACGGCCCCTGCCTGGACGGCTCCGTCCGGGGCCCAGGGGATGGGGCCCCAGGAGCACGCTTCCCTGTTCGAGCAGCCGGCGGAGGGATGGGGGAGGCAGGGGTCGCGGCGGGGAGGGGGGGGGGGGAGGGAGGGGGAGAGGCAGGGACAGAGGGATTTTTGGATCGCGCATGTTGAACCATCTGGCTGTCACGTATGGGCGGCGGCGCAGCTAGCAGAGCGCGTAGAACAATCATATGCACGGGCACCACGTGAACAAGTTCAGAGAAGTAAATCCCACCGATCCCAACCCGTTCTAACCCCCACCTCCACGGATCCCATCGAGTGGTAGTTGGTGGGCAGGTGCCGCTACAAAAAACTGCAGTGCGAGGCCCTTTGCGGCCTTGCATGACCGCAGGAGTCTGTCATTCAACAGGAACGCAGTCGAATGCGCATTTCCGTTTCGCAGCCGTGGTCAGGAAGAACAGGAATAAACGCGGGCGGTCTTGGATGGATGATGGCGAAGCGTCCCTGAACGCCGAGCCAGTGCACATATCAACAATACAAGACATGTGACAGAGGGTGGGCGCTCTGCTCTACTCTCTCTGAATCTGCGCCTCTGCTCCTTGTCCTGACCGGCGCCCGGGCGGAGGGACGTGCACCTGGCGGGCGGCGCGGGGAGAGGAACGCAGCGCGCTTTGACCTGAGCAGCAAAACTTGGCGACGTTTGACTCCCAAAGGCCCGGATCGAAGATCGTCGGCCGCTCGACTCCCCCGAGCGCACCAGTCGTACACGCAACGGGTGGGCGGCGGCCGCACGCAGGGGCGTTCGCTGCTAATCTGCCGCGCCGCTCGCCGCTCCCAGCTCCCATCCCGCACGTAACAACAACCATCCTCCCTCCCGGGCTGTAGCTCGCACGTCTCACGAGCTTGTGGCGTCGGCCACCGTCAGAAATGCCAAGGTTTGCACCACAAGTTCGATGCGTCTACCCCTGACAGAGGACGGAGCGTAGAAGGGGAGGTGGACGTGAGAAGGGGAGCAGTTTCTCACGAGTGCGTGACACGTGAGCAGATCTGACCGGCCTAACGGCCGTGCAAGGCCAGAAATAATACATTGGCTAGTGTGGCTGACATGTATGGGTAAGGCTGGCGGGTTGTGAACTCCTGCAGCACCTCCACCCCGCTCCTGAACTGACTGACCTGAAGAAAGGGAAGAGGAGGAGGAGGAGGAGGAGGAGGAGGAGGAGGAGGAAGTGGAGGAGGAGGAGGAGGAGCACGAGAAAGAGGATGACGAGGAGGAGGAGGAAGATGAGGAGGATGAGGAGGAAGAGGGGGGGGAGAAGGAGGAGGAAGAGCAGTAACAGGAGAAGGGAAGAGGAGGAGGAGGAGGAAGACAAAGAGGAGGAGGAGAGGAGGAGAAAGAAAGGAGGAGGAGAAAAGAAGAGGAGGAGGGGGAGGAGGAGGAGGAGGAGGATGCGGAGGAGGAGGGAGGAGGGAGTGAGGCAGCTGACAATTGATGCTATAGGTCGGCCGACCGACCGACCGGGGAGGAGGATGAGACGCAGGAGCAATAATAATGTTGAACACATGGAGGAGGGGGAGGAGGAGAAGGAGGAGGAGGAGGTTGACGGGGAGGGGTGGGTGGGCACTGAGGAGCGAGAGAGACGGATGCAATGACGGAGGAGACGGAGGAGGAGGAGGAGAAGGGGGGTGAGGCGGAGGAGGAGGATGAGGAGGAGGAGGGTGAGGGGGAGGAGCAGGAGGAGGAGGAGGAGGAACAGCAGCAGGAGCAGGAGCAGGAGCAGGAGCAGGAGAAGAAGGAGGAACAGGAGGAGGAGGAGGAAGAGGAGGAGGAGGAGGTGAGGAGGAAGGAAGGAGGAGGAGGAGGTGGAGGAGGAGGAGGAGGAGGAGGATGAAGAGGAGGCGGAGGACCTGTGCAAATCCAAGATCCATCAACGATGATGTGAAACCCTCCCGAGGTTCCTCTTCATGGAGACTCGTCTTCACTGTAGGTAGTGGCCCGTTGGAAGACAACTCGTTACCCTCGCTCCCTCCGCCTGTCGCGTTTCCGCGCATTTGGTTCAAGTGCAACCTGTGAGGATTGAACGCAGCTTGCGCCCCGACGGTCAGAGGTGCGCGCGCCGCCCTCTTGACGCGCGCGTAGCATCACCCACCAGTTCGTTCATGGAACGGAAAGTTGTAGCGATGTCGTCGGATTTTGTGCCAGAGAACCACTCTGGCGACACATCCCGAGAAGGAGCCACCGTCCATACGTGAAGCCCTTGCAAGCTTTGACGAACGTGCGCGGCGCTAGGGCGAGAGCCACATGTTGGAAAGGAGCCACCTCTACCAGTGAAGCTCTTGCAAACATTTAATCCGGATGTGCGCGGCGCTCAGGCGAGAACCACATGTTAAAAACGGCCCGTCCCCCAGCATTTCAGACGAATTTGCGCGGCGCCCATGTGAGACCCACATGTTGAAAACGACACGCCTTCCATCCGTGAAGCTGTTGCACATTGCAAGCTTAGGCGTGTGCGGAAGGCTCAGGTGCAAAGCCCAGCCTACCTTGCTGACACGTTTCGGGGCGCAGCACGGAGGAGTTATACGGGAGAAAGGGATGGAAGAGAAGGAAGGGGAATATGAGGACAAGGAGGATACGTTTGAGGAGTCAGTCGACACGCAAGGCGGTATGGACTGTATGGCGCATTGAGAATGTCTGTGCGTGGGCCCCAGGCAGCGACAATGTGCAACTCGTGCGGTCCAACCTATAGAGTGCAACCTACGCGAGCAGTTTGCCCAACCCGTCTTGGAGCTGTCAATTCCACTGCTCGCGCAATCACTTCACCCACCCCCCGCGACTTGGTTTGCAAAACCCATGCGGCGGCGATTGCGATGACTGTTTGGCGCTAGCTGGCACGTCGCTGCGGCCACGCTAGTGTACGCAGGCTCCCGCGCACAGCGGCCAGCTAGTATGTCGCGACCGACGCGGCCGCGATGGCGCTGATCGCTGGGCACTTCCCAGCGCGTTTCGCAGGCCGCGCTGACGCGCGGGCACTTCAGTGCGAGTCGGAAGCTCGGGCGGGTGCGGTATCATGGCGGCATCGGCAACGTCAGACAGGATGATGATAGTAACGGTGTTGGCGACGATGATGACAATGACGACGGCAATGCCAGTGACGGCGCCGATGTTGGTCCGCCGGCGACGATAATAGTAGCCATGTGTCGGTGATGAAGGTGTTCGCAGGATTTCGACATGCGCGCGCGGCCGACGCGCACAAGTGGCCCGCATGGTATTATGCAAAGGGTTCTTGACACTTGATGAGTCTTGATAAGCGAGCGCGCGCGCATAGCATTGTCTGACCAAGATGATAGGGGGGGAACAGGGTTCGGCTGGGATGACATTGGGGGGAGCAGGGCTTGGCAGGGATGAAACAAATTCACATAAAAAACGAACGATGTAACAACACCGCTAAATTTTCGCACGCGCCCCCAGGGGGATATACCCGAAGGGGGTTGATCTTAATTCTAGTTTCGAGAGGAGAACCTATACGGTGAAATCTACGCGGTGCCGAATTATGGATGCTTTTGCGTGGTGCGACATTACGATGCGATCAATGCTGTCAGCACGCATCACAGTATGAATTCAAGCTGCCGTCGTGAAACAATGGGGCACGCATTTCCAGTGGGATGAGGCGCCACACGAATCCATAGGAACCCGCAAGATTCCAAGCGGCCGCTGGCACATTTTGTGACACACGTGACCAATGAGAGGGGGAAACGTACGTAGGAATAAGTAGAGATCCATCGGAACCCAATCGACCATCATGAATTATGCGACAGACAGGTCGACTGGGAGGGAAACCGTGGGAATCCACAGAAGCTGGCAGGCATCCGGCCACCCGGAGTGCGATGCACAGGTACAGCTCCTAAGAGCCAGAATAGAACCCTTAGCGCAACCACGCCGTTTTGGGAAACAGTGCACTCAGGAAAAAGAGTTCGTGAAATGTAGACAATGGAATAATGAGTTCAGTTTGTACAACAATGTCGACGTATCCCGCCGATATATTCATCTTACTCTGGTCGGGTCCTTGCTTTGTTGCGGGGGCCCAGGAGGCCTCGTGGCGGGTCCTTGGGTGTCGTCGAGCTCTCTTGGGTGGTCTGGTCCCGAAGAGTTCCCGAGTGGCAGTCTGGAAACGCGGCGGGGGCCTTGTGACAGCCTTGAACTGTGTTAGGGGCTTCCAGCGCGGGCTTGGAGTTCGTCGGGGCTCCCTCGGTCTGCTCGGGTGCCGTCGTGGGGCTCTGCTGAGGCCTCTTGCGGCCGTCGAGGGTGTAAAGGCAAGCGCGCTGGAAAGGCCTTGGTTTAATCAACCTCGATTTGGCTTCTCAGGGGCTTACTCGAGAGGTCCTGTGGCCTTGCCTCGTTGAAGCTCATCGAGAAGGTTTGAGCGCTCTTCAGGAAACTCTTCACGCTTCGCATATCACCACCAGTTCCGTAGCCCTCTGGCTCAAGGCCCTGGCTCCAGCTCGCCCCTGGCCGCCCCTTGTCAACGTGTGCAGGCCAGACTGCCAGGGTGCCTGGGGCGTTCCGAGCGGCGGCCCCAATGCCGAGCGCCGCGACGAACCCGCCCCGGGTCGCGCCCGCCCAGGCCCGCCCTGGCCGCCGCGCCTGCGACCAGGGAGAGCCGCCCAAGGTGCGCCCGCCCGACGAGCCGTCCAAGGAGAGCCGGGTCGCGGCCGCGGAGGCCGCCCTGGTGGACGCGCTCGTGGCCCTGCACGGCGAGCTGCGGGGCAGCCTGGAGCGCATGGAGGCCCTGCAGAGACACTGGGGCGACCCCCTCGACGAGCGCAGTGCGCTGCGCCGCGCCCTGCGTGCGGAGCTCCTGGCGGGCCTGCCGGCGGTCGGCCCGGACGGCACCCACGTCAGGGGAGGCGCTGCGAGGCGCAGGTGGAGAAGCGAGCACACCTCCCCAGAGGCAGACCGCAGACGGGCTTTAAGCGAGGCGCCCATCCCAGACCGCACTGTGCCTCATCGGCTGCCCCGCGGGGATACGATAACATCATGTACATCCATTGCGTCCCGCACGGAGACGGTGACGTCCGACGCTACCTCTTCGGCGGCTGTCAAGTCTTTTCCGACTGGCGGGTCTTCGGTTCAGGTTCAGCGGTCAAGAACCTCGAAAACTCTCTCGGCATGGATGTCCCCCGCAGAGATTCCAGAGCCTCCACGGGCCCTGTCCGATGCGTCTGGACCGCTGGGCAGGTCGCGGCTGTTGCTGTGGATGCTAGTGCATGTTCATGTCAAGGTTTTTGACGCTGCCATCGGCCTCCTCATCGTTGCGAATTCCATCTGTGCGGGGGTGGAGACCCAGTGCGACTTGGATGGCAGTGCGCAGTGCTCGAAGATCACGCACGTTCTAGAGCATATCTTTCTGGTAGCCTTTCTGCTGGAGCTGATTATCCGCGCCGTCGCTGACGGCAGGAGTATTCTGCAAAGTCCATGGTTCCGGTTTGACGCCATCTTGGTCCTCATAGGAGTACTTTCATTTTGGGTGGTAGAGCCCATCATACGGACTGTCATGGCCAACGGCACCACCGAAGTCTTTGGCATAATTTCTTTGGTGCTCGTATTGCGACTATTGCGCCTCATTCGCCTTGTGAGAGCCCTACGCCTCTTCCAGCAGTTCCAAGAGATGTGGAAAATTGCAAGTGGCTTCATGGCTGCGCTCCGCACTGCTCTCTCCGCCTGCGTTCTAATAGTGCTGACTGTCTACGTGTTTGCTTGTCTCGGCAGTGGGCTGATCACGAGGAACTCTTCCTTACATGAAGACCCGGCGACCGCAGAGTTGATCCAGTCGCACTTCCCATCGCTGCAAGTGACCATTCTAACGCTGACTTTTCGAGACAGGCAAACGCCCCGAGAGGCCAAGGCCCCAGGAGACGCCCAGCACGAGGCGGAGGAGCAGGCGGCGGAGCTGCCGGCGGCAAGGCGCCGAAAGGAAACGTGGTGATCACGAAGGTGGACCGCAGCAAGGGTGACGCCATCACCCGGGGCACCTTCCAAGAGAGGAAGCAGGCCAACGCTTTGGCCAGACTGCACAGACTCAAGTGGCTAGAAGAGCATGGCCGCGGCAGGGGCGAGGAGGCCCGTGCGCTCCGTGCGAAACTGGACAGGGCTCTGCCGCACAAGGACTTTGACCAGATGGGATCCCTCAGCGCGCTAGCCCGCCAGCAGGCTGTCGCACGGCTGATGGCCGACGCAGAGGTGAGGCTCAGGACGCTCACCGAGGAACGGCGGGAGAAGCGGCTCGAGGACTGGCGCTCCCGGGTCCAGAGCACGCAGAGGAAAGCTCACGAATGGCTCAAGGATTTCACACCAAAAGACGTCATGGTGAAGGAAGGCGAGACAACGGCGCAGGACACCAACGAGGCGCTGGGCATGCTCCGTAGAAGGTGGAGGAAGGTGTGGGACCGAGAAAAACCGCCTGCACACAGGAGGCGGGAAAAGCTAGGCCAATGGCTGCCGATGCTCCCGGAGCAACAGTGGCCCAAGCTCAGCGAGCAAGACGTGAGAGAAGGGCTGCGCAGGCAGGCGGGCTCCAGCGCCGGGCCAGACGGCTGGACTGGAGACGAGCTCGTGGACGCCATGTTCGCCAGCGAGGCCATCACCAACCTGCTCAACGAGATGGAACAGGCCGCCTGCGTGCCAGACGGGTGGAAGCAGCACCGGCAGGCGCATCTGCCAAAGGCTGTGCCCGAGGGAGGCAGCAACGCGCTGAGCGCCGAGGACTATCGGCCCATCTGCGCGGCGAGCGCCTGGTACAGGCTGTGGGCGACCTCCAGGGTACGCTCAGAGGCCAGCCGCAGGTGGCAAGACACCTGGTGGGATACGGACATGGTCGGTGCGAAGAAGGGGTTCGAGTCGCACCAGGCCACTGCGTCCTCGATAGTGGCGGCGAACATGGACATGTACGTCACCTCCTGGGACTACAGCCTTGTTTTCGATATGGCGGACCCCGCCATCGCCGGCCACGCGCTGTCTGAGCTGGGCCTCCCTTCAAACATTGGCAACATGCTGATGAGCACGTGGGGAGATCAGCGCCGGTGGTTGCAGCTCGCGGGCTGCACCCTGCAGGAACCACAGAGGGTCAGCAGCAGCCTCCCCCATGGGGACCCCTGGTCGCCAATGGCCCTCTTCGCAATGCTGCTTGCGCCGCTCAAGCAGATCAAGCACAACTGCGAGGACATCCACGTGCAGTTGCACATCGACGACCGCACCTGGGAGAGCCCCAGCATCATCACCATGCTCCGCGCCGCGGACTACTGGACCAAGTGGTCAGAGACGCTGGGCTTGAAGGAAAACGAGAAGAAAAAACAGTGGCTGCACCGGCGTCCTCGCCAAAGGCGGCAACTTGCAGAGGCAGGAATTGACCCGGCCAGCATCCACGACGCCATCGACGTGCTGGGGGTCAAGATCACTTTAGGGCGCAGCAGGAAGCTCTCTAAGAAGGAGACCAGGCGGCTCAGAACAGCAGAGGCGCAGCTTGCCAGGGCGCGCCAGCTCCCGCACCAACGGAAGGAAAAGAGAGAGAGATCTGTGCCGCGGGCCCGTCTCCAAGGCGGCTTTCGGATGGGTCGAGCAGCCTATGCCGAGCGGAGCGGCGGACCGGCTCCGACAAGGCGTGGCAAAGGCGTTGCGGCCTCCTCGACAGAGTGCGCCGCCTCTACGTCGACTGGCCTGGGGGCACAGAGCTGACCCCAGGTTCCGCGCACAGCAGGACACGATCATGGCACTGGCCAGAGTCGTATCCAAGCGGGCCCACACCCTCAGCGACTTCGCCTGGGTGCTGCCCTGGACGCAGAAGGGAAGCTTCGCCGCTGAGGTAAGCAGCCACCTCAAATTGACGGGATGGAGACCCACCGCCGCCCGGTGGACCTGGCAGCATTCAGGCTTGGAAAATACTCCCATCACGCTGGACCACACCAGCCGGGAATGGAGGCCACCCAGGGCGCTGGGGCACGTGTTGCGCGAAGCCTGGCGCCATGCCCAGTACGACAGCTTCATCAAGTCCAAGCGCCGCGACGCGGCCATCATCAGGCAGAGCGGCATCGGCTACAACCCCGTCAGGGTCAAGGCTGTGGCCCAGTGCTACGACGAGAACCCAGGGAAGGCGATGAGGGTGCTGGCAGGCGCCGTCGTCTCGCCCATGTGCATTGCGATCGCCAGGAGGGACCCCGGTCTGGGGGAGTGCCCCTGGCGTGGTGCGCCACACGGAACACTGGACCACATCGCGTGGGAGTGCGCTAACGTGCCCGGCCGGCCACCAGTCCGGCCTGCTGACGTGCTCCAGCGCAGGCTGTTCTGGCCGAAGGGCACGAAGGCGGCGCGAGCAGTGGGCGAGACCATCTTCCGCTGGGCGTGCACGCTGGACGACCTCCTCCTGCAGGAGAGGCACCCTGGTAACGTCGTCGTGCACTCTGGCGAGGTTCCTGTCAATCTGGCTTAGCAGGCCATGGCGCCTGCGCCGGCACGGTCATCCAGAAGGCCGTTGTCGATGACAACTTGGTATATTCTAACGCTGGCTCGGTTCGCGAACGCAGACTCCATGTCCGCTGTGTACACGCCGATGGTGGAGAGAGCATGGTACTTGATGTTCTATTTTGGCCTTGTGTGGCTCATCGTCACGGCCGCGGCGGGGAATCTGGTTATTGGTGTTATTGTGGACACAGCCCGCGTCCAAGGCGAATATGATCAAGATTTCGAGTTGGCCGTGCAGCGGAAGAGGTTGAAAGGCTCTCGAACCTTGTATGAAAGCCCTCTTCCAGGAGCTCGACGGGGAAGGAGATGGTATTATCAAGCTGGGAGAAGGATTCAGGTCCGCGTTAGAGAGCATTGATGCAGCCACCTTGCAGCACCTCCCGGCATAACTCAGGAACATATTAGAATCGGACCAGCTCGTAGCAGTCTGCGAATACCTCGACCCCGACGGCTCGGGCGTGATCGACGAGACGGAGTTCATCGATGGAATCTTCACCTTGGTGCTCCAGTCCGTCCCCATCGAGACTACCCAGATACTGCAGATGCTGCGCTCGCAGAGCGGCGTGCTGCAGAGCATCGAACGGGCGGTGCCGAACGCACACTGGCAGAGAAATGAGGGCCAGGCAGCGGAGACGCACGCCGCACTCTCCGCGTGAGTCTGGCTGGCCCGACGGCGCTGCGGCCCCTTCCATGGCCGTCCGGCGAGAGGGCGCCGAGGTGGTCATCCGAGACCGCGCGGCCGCAGGCAGCGCGGGGTGTGGCGAGGCCGTGGGCCTCGGCTTCCCTGCTGGGATGCCACCCCCCCCGCCCGAGCCCTGCGCCGAACGGCCCAACTGGATGCCCCGTGCGCGGTCGCACGGGGTGCGTTTCGGAGCATCTCGGAGCTCGACCTCGGGCGTGAACAGCACGCCCTCGTTGGCTCTGCGAGCCTCCCAGGCGTCTCTGGGGAGGCCCATGGGCAATGGGGGCGCGGGAGGTGAAGGTGATATGCTGGAGGCTGCGCGCCACTAGTTCCGCCCCTTTGGCGGCGCAGCCTCCGCAAGTCAGATAGCACATCGCTGCGAAGTGCGTAGCACCCCGCAGATGCAGATCATTGTAAGACCGTTCGCTCTTATCTGCTCGAGTGTCCCTCAACGCGCATTTGTGTGCGCATTTTGTCTGACGCCCCACCCTTCCCACCCAGTTTTATTGTTGGCGCCGTTCGCGCCAAGGCGCGCCAGGCTGCAATGCTGGCTTGCAGGTGGCATCCGCCTGCGGTCAGCCCTGTGAATTAGACGCATTTCTTAACTTGCAAGAGCTGGCCGCTCCACCTTGCGCGCGCATCCTTGGGTCATCGACCAGATAAGTGCGCGCGAGGCGGTTGTATCTCTGGCGCGAGGCCCTGCCAGTGCAGCTTCTTCGAATTCACCGTCGAAAAAGAAGAAGCTTCGGGGCGCCATTGCTCCTGCTCCTGGTGCTGGTCCGGTTACACACGTATGTGCGGCCGTCAGCCGTTCCTGGACATCGGGTTCTATGCTATGTCCTGGCCGCTATGCCATGTTCCTGGGTTTGGTTTCGGTCTCGTGCTTCACACGCGCAGACGGCCGTCAGCCGTTCCTGGCTCCTGGCATTCACGCTGCCGTTTTGCACCGGCAGTTCTGCGTGGTATCAGCCTGGTCCAGTTGGGGTTGGTTTACACGCGTATGTACGGCCGTCAGCCGTTCTTGGCCTTCGGTTGCTATGCTTTGCCCTGGTCGCTATGCCACTCCTGGATTGGTTTCGGTCTCCTGCTACGCACGTGCAGACGGCCGTCAGCCGTTCCTGGATTCCTTACCTTGGCACAGCTAATTACTTTCGTGGCAAGTGATGTGAGGAAGTTCCGAGGAAGTTCCGAGGAAGCTACTAGCATCGGCATCCTGGCCTGCGATTCCTGCATTTCCCCACCAGCCTGATTCAGTTTGGCCTGGTAATTGGTTGCATGTCGGCGATGGTGGACCGCTTCCGACCTCCTGGCCCTGGCGCCCCCAGCTCACCGCAGCGCAGCTCGGCGGCTTAGGCAGCTTAGGTTTGACCCCGCGCTCTAGTTTGCTGCTCGCTGTAAATTGGTAAGGACCGCGCCCCGGACTCACCGACCCGCCGCCTGCGCCTTCGCTTGCGGCCGCGACCAAAAAAAAAAATCACCACCACCTTCGCTGGCGCCACCTCTTGCACCGAGTTGTTTCCACGGCCTCTTTCGTGGTGCCCACGCGCCCTTTTGGCCGCGCTGCAGCTCCGGCTGCTCCTCGCACTTGTGCGTTCTGCTGCTGTTGGACCTCCTGGCCCCGGCCACCCTGGTAACATTGCAGCTTGCTGATGCTCACGCCCCCTCTGGGCACCCAATTCGACCTACGACCGTCGGTTCACTTGGTTACGGCCACCCTGGTACCTTCGTAGTGGTCTGGGGGCCTGCGCCCTTGCAACTAATTCTCACGTCTGCTGCAGTCCCTGGTCGCCGGTCACCCTGGCCGCCAGCTGCTTCCTACGCGTTGCATGCGTGCACCTTGGTAGTACTGTCCCCCAGTTTACCGCCAGCCTTTTCCACTCGCCGGCCCGCTGCTGAGGTGCTGCGTGAGGCCCCGGCCCCCCGCTTTAGGGTAATTCGTCTTTGCGCGCCCCGCTAAGACTGGACTCGCCGCTGGCGCGCTCGCCTGCGGCCGCTGACTAAAAAATATCACCACCAGCCCATTCAGAAACTCTGCCCATGAGAGCTGACGGGAAAAAGGACGAAGAGACACATTTAGGGAAACAAAGCGAGCAACCAGGGTGAACCGAGCGATCTCTGGGAGCAAGGGGGTGGCCTTGGAAGGCCTCTTCTGGCCATCCCTGGGGGCCGCGCGGGGGCGAGGGGGAGGAGGAGCAGGAGGAGGACGTGGACGAGGAGGAATTGTAGGACGAGGATGCGGATGAGGACGAGAACGAGGAGGGCGAGGATTAGGATGAGGACAACGCGGACGAGGACTCATGGAACCATCTAGAGTAGAGGTATTATTACGGCTGCTGCTGTTGCTGCTGCTGCTCTCTGGGAGTTTGGGCGGCCCTTTTGGAGCCCTCTTGGAAATCCTGGAAGGCTTCTTGGGATCATTTTGGAGGCCATCGATTGCAGGATGGGGCGGTCCCCAACTCAGCTCCCCATCAGGAGCCCGCAAACCGCTTCTTCGGGCTCTCTTGGAGCGTTCTTGGTCGCTCTTGGAGCGGTTTCGGGGCCGTTTGGAGCATCTTGGGAGCCATCTTGAGCCAGCTTAGGCTGTCTGAGCCATCTTGGAGGTCATCTTGGGCTCTCTGAGGCCGCTCGGGGGCCTCTTGGGGGCCTCTCGGGTGCCTCTTGGGGCCCTCTTGGGACCCTCTTGGAACCTTCTTGGGGCTCTCTTGGGGGCGCTGGAGCGCCTTTTGGGGCCATCTTCGAGGCGATCGATTAAAGGAGGGAAGCTCCCGATCGAGGTCCCCCCCTCGGGGGCCACGATCCCCGTGAAGGATGTCAGAAATAGGCCTTCCCAGGGTCCGAAAAAGGGACCCCCCGGCCACCCGCGACCGCTGCCGAAAAACGCCAGGGGAGGGGGTAGGGGGAGGGTCAATACGCCCTCCCCGCCCGCCCGCCGTCTCGCTCACTCCCACCCGCCCTCCCAGCACATACGCAGCACCCGAGCCGCCGCAGCCACTGCCGCCGCAGTCGCTGCCGCCACCGCTGCCGCCGCCGCCGCCACCGCCGCCGCCGCCGCCGCCGCCGCCGCCGCCGCCGCCGCCCCCGCCGCCGCCGCCGCCGCTTCCGTCGCCGCCACCGCCGCAGCCGCCGCAGCCGCTGCCCCCGCCGCAGCCGCCGCCGCCGCCGCAGCCGCCGCAGCTGCCAAGTGTACTCTGTATTGTTTTTGTGACAGGGATGGTGGGGGGAGGCCGCATCGGGTTCGCTGCGCATGCTCCGAATTTGGAGGCAGCGTAGGTTTTGTATTGTTTTTTCAAGGGATGGTAGGGGCAGAGTGTGTTTTGTATTGTTTTTTTTTCCAAAGGATGGTGGGGGGGGGGCCCTCATGGACCTGGGTGGGTTCCCGGTCGCCTGGGGGGGGTACAGAAATAGGGAACAGTGACCAAGAGTCTCCCTCCCCGCCCGCAAGCCGTCTCGCTCACTCCCACCCGCCCTCCCAACACATACGTAGCACCCGAGCCTGGCCCGAGCCGCAGCATATGCAGCAGTCGTCTTTGGATGGCCAGCTACTGGGGGCCAATCCGCCGCCGCCGCCGCCTCCGCCGCCGCCGCCGCCGCGCCGCCGCCGCCGACGCCGCGCCGCCGCAGCCGCCGATGTCCGCCGCTGCCCGCCGCACTGCCCGCCGCTGCGCCGCCGCCGCCCCCGCTGCCAAATCGCCGCCGCCGCAGCCGCTGCCGCCGCAAGTCGTTGCGCCACCGTGCCGCCGCCGCCGCCCCGCGCCGCCGCCGCCGCCGCCGCCCCCGCCGCCGCCGCCGCCGCCCCCGCCGCCGCCACCGCCGCAGCCGCCGCATCCGCTGCCCCCGCCGCAGCCGCCGCCACCAAGTGTACTCTGCATTGTTACCTAACAGCTCTTGCTGATAGGCTTCTAGTGGTCTCAAAAGAGAACAGCAGATGACTCCTCAGGGGGGTCTGGGCGGGACCCGGACAGGCTGCCGCCGCGGCTGCCGCCGAAGCCCAAATCGCTTTGGACATCCTCGCGAAATCGCTCTTGGTGCTCCCAGAACTCCATTCCCGGGCCACATTTTGGATGCCCGGAGCCAACTGTAGGCCACTTCGTGCTTTTCGATTTCCCAGAACTCCATTCCCGGGCCACATTTTGGATGCCTGGAGCCAACTGTAGGCCACTTCGTGCTCTTCGATTTCCCAGAGCTCCATTCCCGGGCCACATTTTGGATGCCCGGAGCCAACTGTAGGCCACTTCGTGCTCTTCAAGTTCCCAGAACTCCATTCCTGGGCATGATTTTGAATGCCCGGAGCCAACTGTAGGCCACTTCGTGTTCTTCTAGTTCCCAGAACTCCATTCCTGGGCCACATTTTGAATGCTGAGGCAGGCTGATGCTGCGGCCGAGGCAGGCTGAGGCTGAGGCAGGCTGAGGCTGAGGCCGAGGCTGAAGGCAGACTGAGGCTGAGGCTGAAGTAGACGAGGCTGAGGCTGAGGCAGGCTGAGGCTGAGGCCGAGGCTGAGGCAGAGAGGCTGAGGCTGAGCAGGCTGAGGCTGAGGCTGAGGCTGAGGCAGGCTGAGGCAGCCAAGTGCTGAGTCTGCCGAGGCTTGAAGGCAGACTGAGGCTGAGGCTGAAGCTGAGGCTGAGGCTGAGGCAAGGCTGAGGCTGAGGCAGGCTGAGGCTGAGGCTGAGGCAGGCTGAGGCTGAGGCTGTGACTGCGACTGCCGTTGCCGCTGCGACTGTCATCGCGAATGCGACTACGACTGCGAGAACAGCAGAATCAACTGGATTTTCATCTGAATCTTAAGGGGAATGCTTTCAGATATGCTTCTACACATCGCTGTTAGGTTGCTTTGCCGGGATATTTTTTTTGACAGGGATGGTGGGGGGAAGGCCGCACCGGGTTCGCTGCGCATGTTCAGAATTTGGAGACAGAGTGTTTTGTATTGTTTTTACCAGGGATGGTGGGGCAGAGTGTGTTTTGCATGGTTGTTATAAGGGGTTGGTGGGGGCGTGCCCGCATGGACCTGGGTTGGCTCCCAGTCGCCAGGGGAGGGGGTGTATAGTAATAGGGAACAGTGATCAAGACCCCCTACCCGCCCGCAAGCCGTCTCGCTCACTCCCACCCGCCATCCCAACACATACGTAGCACCCGAGTCTGGCCCGAGCCTCAACATATTCAGCACTCGTTTTTGGATGGGTAGGTACTGGGGGCCAATCCGCCGCCGCCGCCGCCGCCGCCGCCGCCGCTGCCCGCCGCCGCCGCCGCCGCCGCCGCCGCCGCCCCGCCCGCCGCCGCCGCCGCCGCCGCCGCCGCCGCCGCCGCCCGCCGTCGCCGCCGCCGCCGCCCCCTCTGCCAAATCGCCGCCGCCGCAGCCGCTGCCGCCGCCGCCGCTGGCGCCACTGCCACCGCCGCCGCAGCCGCCACCGCCGTCGCCGCCGCGCCGCCGCCTCCGCCGCCGCCCCCGGCGCCGCCGCCGCCGCCGCCACCGCCACCGCCGCCGCCGCCGCCGCCGCAGCCGCCGCCGCTGCCGCCAAGTGTACTCTGCATTGTATTTGGCAGGGATTGGTGGGAGGCCGGATCGGGTTGGCTGCGCATGCTCCGAATTTGAAGACAGAGCGTGTTTTGTATGGTTTTTTGGTTTACAAGGGATGGTGGGGGGGCCCTCATGGTTCTGGGTTGGCTACCAGTCGCCTGGGGTGAACCCCTCCCCGAATGGGAAAACTGGTTTTGCGGAAGAGGGAAACTCGGCATGCTCCCAGAGGGCTGGTGGGATTCTGGGGTCGCACGGGGGCCTCTTTGGGCTTCCTTGATGGCTGTTGGGGCCATCTTGCGACGTCTTGGGGCGTCGCGGGGCGTCTGGGGCCCCTCTTGGAAGAGTCCTACGACATTACCATGAAGCCCTTGGGCCCCCTACGGGCTGGACTGCACAGTCAAGACGACGCACGTGGTTAAGGACCACTTGTGGTTCCCGCAGGGGTGCTGGTTTCCAGGCCGTCCCGTAGCTTTGGGCCGGGGCGCCATTTCGTGGCCCGGGCCCGCCGTGGCCCTCGTCCTGGGGCGCCCCTCGTGGTATAGCACGGCGTCTGCAGGTCCCCCGACATCCGCCGATCCACGCTTGACATCCGCCGCTCCAGAGGTCCCGACCGCTTCCCCGAAGGCAGTCTTCCGTCCCCGAGCCATTCCTGATGGCCCCAGGGCCCGAACACGCCTCCCCTGATGTTCAATACTGAAGAAGATGGTGTCTGTGGTCACCTCAGCGATGAGGTAGACCCGGCACACGGGGCTGATCCAAAGGATGCAGGCGTTGATTGGGATTGAGCTGCACGATGTGGATGGCCAGCTCACACGCTGCCCTCATCATGATGGCCCTTTCTTGGAGTGCCGGCGCCTGGGACATAGTGATCCACTGACCCAGAAGGAGGGGTACACTGTTCGATACAGCATCGAGTTGGTGCATGTTCCGTCGGGATCGTGCACTGTCCGTTGGGATGGCGCCTTATCCGTCGGGAGGGTGCGTTTTCCTCCAGGGGTGGGGAGGTACTAACGACTCAGCAGAGACTTGCGAATCAAACTAGGACTGAGCAGGTTGCCCGCTCATCCTAGGATTAAGTCGGGCCTGTCCCTCTACAGGAGGAATATACAAAAATAGTCAAACAATGGTCTGGGGCCGACTTCTGCGTATTTTTGATGATTTTCAAAGGGTATTTTTTTTTTAGATTTTTCGTCCGAAATCGGCCTGTAGGGGGACATGCCCGACCTAATCCTAGGAGGGCCGAGATCCAGGAGAAGCCGCCAGGATTGAAAAAAGCAGATCGTCGGAAATGGCTGCAGGGCGCCCGTGGCGGCCCTCAACGCTTCCCGCCCCGTCGACTGCGCGCGCGGCAGAAGGTCGAGCGAGAGTGCGCGGTGCTGCACGAGCTGGCCGGGCTGGAGGGCATCCCGGAGCTGGCCGAGCAGGTCCTCTTCACGGATATCGGCGTCAGCGCGATCGCGTACGCCGCGGGCTCAGTTGCCAGGGGAGGGCGAGGTATACCGACGCCGCTGGAACCTGCCCCGCCTGTGCCCTTTGAGGGGCCTCCTGGGACCGACTACACGTAAGTATAAGAGTCACTCTTCGCCAGCGTGACCTTTGGTGCGGGTCTATGGGGGTCCCCCGATCGCCGAGCGCGATGCGCCAGTCGCGTCTTCCGCGCTTGTGTGTTGGTCCCCCCGCGGCCCCCAAAAGGCCGCGCACCAAAGGCCACTCTTGCCAAGGGTCACTCTTGCGTGTAGCCGGTGGGGGGCCATCGCCTCCGCAGCTGGATTCGCACTGGGATTCTGGTCACGAGGCGCCCCTGCATGGGAGAGGTCTGGGGAGCATGCCGCTCCCAGACCTCCGCTGTCCGGATGATTTCAGTGCTGGGGTTCCCCTGCAGCTCTGGACCATCTCCCGGGGACCGGCTTCCCGACCTATAACGACCTTGGGCCCCCCAGCGAGGCACGCGGAAAGCGGCGAGAAATCCTTCCCTGTCCCCGAGATCCGACGTTGCAGAAAAATGCAACATCGCAAAACCCAGACCCCCTCGCGCTGTGGCAAAAATTACGGCGGGAGGTTTTTCGCTACTTTCTGCCTCCGGGGGCCCTCGCTGGGCCTCGGGACCGGCCCCGGGGAAGGGGCGCGCAGACCTCTGGAGGTCGACGTCATGAGAAAATCACGACGTCGGGGGTCTGGGGAGGAGGAGCCAGCCTCGGCGCGGCGCCCGGGGCTATGGGGTGCCCCGCGCCCCGGGGGGGGCGCCGCCCGTGCACGGGGAGCCCGGCTCTGCGCGGGGGGGGCGGGGCGGGAGAGGGCCTGGCAGCGAGGGGCCGCGGGAGCACGGGCGGCGCGCGGCGCGGGGGGGTCCCCGAGGTCTGGGCGCTGCGGTGCCGTGCGCGCCGGGCGTCTCGGGCGTCCTGCGCCCGCGCTCGGGCCCCGGGGGGGCCCTCGCGGGCCGATCCGTCCCGAAGGATGCTGCAGAAGGATTGGCTCTATAGTGGCTCCTGTCGTGACTTCCCGCCGTGTTGCCAGGCCGTCGCAGCGTCGACTGCGGATCTTCCGTGCTTCGGCTGATCCTGATTTCGGGTATGCTGTGTGTTGGAATTGTGTCGGACATGCACCCCGGGCGATGCGAAGAATTATGGGGCGGAAATTCCCGGCTCAAAAAACTAAGGCTGATATCCTTGCGAGAGCATGGCCGAAACAGCTGCGGCAAAGTAGGGCAGACATCGGCATCAAAGCAGCTTGAAAAGCAGGGCGGACATTTGCGCCATACTTGCGACATCGCCCAAGAAGTACGGCGGATCCGAAGTCAGGGACGGGTCCTGAGGCTTTTGCCATTCTCGGGCTCCTGGGTCCCTCTCAGGGCCCACGGCAGCGCCGCAGAACGGGTCAGGATCCAGATAGAGACGGCCCCCCGAGTCCAGGGCCAGCGTCACTGAGGACCTGCTTCTTATCAAGCTCGCCCAAGGTACCGCGGAGGATGAGGAGGAGGAGGATGAGGAGGAGGAGGAGGAGGAGGCGGAGGAGGATGTTGTCTGGCCGTGCTACAAGGAGGAGAAGGAGGAGAAACAAAAAGGAGGAGCATGAGGACGAGAAGCAGGAGGAGGAGGAGGAGGAGGAGGGAGGAGGGGGAGGAGGAGGGGGAGGAGGAGGAGGAGGAGGAGGAGGGGGATGGGGCCGGCCAGACAACAAATCAAACGTAAAGGGAGAGCCGCACGCGCGGCCCCCCCAGCGGCGGCGGGAGGGGGCGCGGCCCCCCCTCCGAGCTGGGCGGTTGGGGCCTGCGCCTCGGGCGAGGCGCTCGCCGCGCGGCGCATCGCCTCCTGGCCTCGGAGAGGCCGAGGAGCGGGGGGGGGATCGAGGGTTGAGGGCCCAAGAGCATCGAGGAGCCCTGGGATAGGGGGGCCTCCTGGACGGCGGGCGCGCACGATCTGCTGCGGGCCTGCGAGGGTCCAAGAGGATCGAGGAGCCCTGGGATAGGGGCGCCTCCTGGAATGGGAGGGCTGGAAATGGGAGGGCGGGCGCGTACGATAACTGTGCTGCGGGCCTGGCCTGGCTCGGCCCGTGCCCTCTCCGGCTGTCGCCCTGCGTGGCGGTCGGGATGCGCTGCCACCGCCGGCCACGGGAGGAGGCGCCGCAGCAGCCAGTGTTCCGGATTGGGCCGTAAGGAAATCACGGCGGGGTGGGGTGGGGTGGGGTGGGGGGGGTGGAGGGTTTCTCCGAAGGGCGAAGGGCTTAGGCGACCCGTCGTC